TTTAAGTTTGCCCACTAGGTGTTCTTTTATTTACGTTGACGTTCTGAACGTTCAAATTTACTGGTCCGAAAACGGCTACATTACGAAAGGTATCAAAAGCGTTCTAGTGAAAACATACTGACTTGATTACCATTCCTCTCACCACTCCCACACAAAAAGGCGCTTGTGATAAACATGTTTTGAACAGTGACCAACGTATACACAGGAAGAGAAAGGAAGGAGGAATCCCGGAAACTTGCGCTGCAAATAGCCATTTTGCGGCTACGAAACTGTAGCTCCACGAGATAGATGTAAAGGAAAACCCATCCTCAAACGATAATTCTAGCGCCAATGAGGTCCCGTTAGTCCTGTTTCATTTGAAGCGAAATACGTACAGCTATAAAACGTGCTTAAGGAGGGCGGTGTAGACGTTGCTTAAGAAAAGCCGGTCTAGAGAATTCTGTAACAGTGATTCAAATGTCAACGACCCCTCTAAAACGCCAACTTGTTCGCAATCACCTGTATGGCCGTCTATGTGCAAGGCATAATTGCATAATATGCCCTTGCTTTATAGACGGTAATTGCAGAAGTCCGAGAACATTGACGAAGCGGGCAGAGCACTCTGCGTCCGCATAAAAGAACACCAAGACGGTAAACTCAGAGTTAAAACAAATTCTCTACTAGGAGTCCAGAGAACACAAAAACTTAACGGAGAAAATTAGGAATTAGAAGTTACCATCCTCGCGCAGGAATAGAAATCACTAGCGCAGAACCCTAGGAGGAATTCCGTACAAATTTCAAGAATCCGAAAATGAACCGCAGAGAGCAATTCCTTGAAATCACGCTGATCTCACAGAGTATTTAAGACTGTTATTCTAATATGAGAGGCGCATTACGTTTCCATGTGAACTCTGTACGGTTGGTCTACACATGACATATTCAGTGGAAGACTTATAGGGAGCGGTGAATGTGCTTAGAAGTTATTTTGTTCTCACTGCGATTGAAATCTTGGTTTAGCACTTTCTCTGTTTGGTTATGGAGGTACTCGGACGAGCAAATTGTTGCCAACGTGACCATTCGTGGCTCTAAGGAAGGCGAATCACGCCGTAACTTCGGCTTCATCGTAATAAAAATAAAATAACTCGTGTTTCCTCAACGAGAAGCAATCCACACAGTTTAAAATCAGCATGGTTGTCTTACTATGTTTCAGAGGATAGACAAATAAAGGCGAGCAAGAGATAATGAAAATAGAGCGGAAGAAAAGGTAGTGACTGAGTGATCACTGATGAAAATTTAAAAAAGTACCAAAAGAAAAGTAAATAGGGACGAAATGGTATTCAACATGGCCATTTGATGTAACCCTACAATGTGGATTTAACTTCTTTTATATCTGAACGCCACACTGACGATCTAGAAGGTTTTCGTATGCGCTTTAAAAAAACATTTCTCAAGAGATCAATAAAATAGGTACGAAAAAATTGCACGCTGTACCCCACCTACGCTTAGAAGCCTGTTTGGATTACTTTTAGGGTAGTGATTGATCTTTTACTAAGATGAGACTTCAGCATAGGCCATGTGGAGGCTTGAATGTAATCTGAATTTCGTCGTAGGCCAAACGCTCGGCAGATACCCAGTTGATTGCACACATCATAACGTTGAAGAGAATCAAAAAAGTTGTGCACTCGCCTAAAGAACTGCTTGTGACTGCTTTGCTTATTCACTATATTTGTGGAGACAAAGCATAGTGAAATACAACCATTACGATGGTGAGATATTTACAAAACTTAGATCCCAGGCCAGATAAAACCGTTGGTTACCCTCTCCGCGATCTCACGTGTTACGCGTGGTACGCTTTGCTTCTCTCTTAGCCTCTTTTCTACCTAACGCTGCCATCAGCACCACAAAGCATCATATTTTTTATGGTGTTCAAGCAGAAAAGACAGAAAACGTTGATAAACGTGAACACAACAAGTGCGTATGCAATAGAAAGCGAGTGATACATCTGGTGATCAAGACGTTATGTAGCAGAATTATTCTGCTCGCAAAGGGCGCGTGTGGCGCAGTGCTCAGCGGCGCCTTGCAGTATACATGGGAACAAGCCTGGCTCCCCAGACTCAACAAGCCCTCAGTCTCTCCGGAGTCGGTATCAGACTTGTCTTGGAGGATAGGCAGTGGCTCGATACATCGGTAAGCCACCGCCAGTCATTGTAAGTGCCAGATATGCACTCAATCACCTTCAACGATGTTTGATGAAGCAGAACGCTTGGCGTATTCCTCAGAGATTGATGAAAGCCGGGAGTTTTATCCTTTATCCATATTATTCTGCTATTGAGTGTCAACAATTATTGCTGGTGAAAGCTTGGGGAAAACCCTAGTATGCTCATTGCACGACTCCAAGGAGAGTTCACTGCACCGGCATTCATCGACATTCATAAAGAAGCCTAAGATCATAAATCAGCACTTGAACCAATACGGTCCGAACACCTTTGTAGGTGACTGGTCGAGGAATTGAATCGAATGCAGGAAGGAATTCATTAGGAGACGCTGAATATGTAGTGTTGGGTTGTGTAAAAGAAATGAATGTATCAGTATTGCATTTTAAGCATATGAAATTCGTGATTATTCAAATATCAACAGATAAGATGGATGAGTATCACTGAAGGTAGTTCACTTGTTACAGTATTTCGTAGGAGACGACCGCTCTCAGATGTTCCAATGCTTCTATTTGTTATTTCAGTTACGGTTAGTTCTGGAGTACTCACTTAACTGATACTTGAACAGCCCGTTCTCACTGGTTGTACGGCTCCCACCATAATCTCCATTTTTGGGAGCTTTGCTGGTTTAGCCATTCTGGTTTCCTGGAGTCCCGAGAACAGCCAGGTTAAAGTCTGCTCCAGGTCGTACCCACCAGTGGCGGTCGCAGTCCTTGTGGATCAGAGGGAGACGCCACCATGTCACTAGTTCGATACCAGGGCGCTGGTGGGTCCTGCCAATAGTTTCCTCTTAGCTGGAGTCCTTGGTGGAGGCGCCGGACTCCTTCTCAGCTTGGGAGATCCTGCCGTCGGGATGAATCCCTGCTGCACATCGCAGTCCGACACCAAGGAGCACCTCCTAGCCACGATGAGGCGGTAAACCGTTGGGATTACTTTGTAGTTTTTGGGTAGTTGACTTAAAAACAAAATCTCCTACATCTCATATTGTTTGAATAAAAATATCTTTCAATATTGTCAACCTTTTATTTGTTGCCTACTACGAATTTTTATAGCAGGGTGTTATGCGAAGTACAACCGCAATGGTGCTGAGACATTTGGAAAACTCCGGACTACAGGTGTCTGCGGTGAGGAACCAACGCGCTGTTACCCTTTCCGGAGCCTAAGGCGTTCACCACCACACCATGCAAGCTCTTCGTTTCTTATCTTATATCTTTTGTCTTTTAACGAAGGGGCAATATGGTGTGGTGGTGAACGCGCTTGCCTCCGAAAAGGGTAATACTGCGTTCGTTCGCCATTGCGGACACCTGCAGTCCAGAGTTCTGCGTTTATCTCAACATCACTCTGATTGTCCTTTAATACATTTTAACGTCTTCAATTCAATTACTGTGCAGTCTAATGAAATATCTTGTGGATTTTTCTAAAAGCTTCATGAAGGCAACATGTAGAGTATTTCCGCTTGCCGGAATTTTTGAAGAACAAGCTAGAAACACCAGGAATATTTTTGAAAGTGTGCTCAGCGTTCTCAATGCTGAGATTGTTCTTTACCAATTCACTAAATGCTCACAGTTTCGAAGGACATTTACCAATTTTACACTAAAATGTTAGGATCGCTTTGTTTTCAGAGAGCGCTTCTATACACTCTGTCTATTTTCGTTATAGTAATTAATACAGTTTGCACAAAAACAAGAAAGAAAGCTAGTGGATCGCTGTCAGGAAAGTTGAGTAGCGCTTCAAATATTTCAACGGTGAGTAATCATGGCTGAATGGGACACATGCTCGTTAGTGATGAAGTTTATAATATATAAGATACAGCTTTTCTGCCGCCAAAGACGAGGTTTCAACACAATATTTATTCCACAATAACTAACATTTCGGAGGTTTTCCTTTCTTCAAGTTGATGCGCAATCTCCCCAAACATAAACTTTCATAACATCAACTGAAGAAACTCTAAACCTAAAGTTTAATTGGGTGAAGAACAGTTTCCTTAAACACTTATTGCCCTCAGTAACTTTATAACATACTGGTTATTTACCTCTCCTTTCGTCCTTCACACAAAAAGAAGGTGCATGTCAGAAACCTATTTTCAACAGCCACCAGTGTGTCCACACACGGAAATGCCTTAACATCGCACTGCAGATAGTTATTTCCAATTGCAGAAAATCGGGATAGGTTTAGAGGAAGAGCCAAATTCAAACGATAAGCCAAAAATCTCGTTTATCCTGCCCTTAATCTTCAATGAAGTAAGTGCAACGATAAAGCTGTGCTTAAGAAGGTCCATAATAGAAAACCCGTCAGTAGTGGTTGAGAATCATCGAACATTACACTATTCAGTCAGTTAACTCGCAACCATTTTTATAATTGCCTGCTCAGAACACAAAACTGCATAATTCGCATTAACGGTAGAGACGTCGACTGCATGAGTCCGGGTACGATGTACCCAATCTCTTGTAAGCAATCCCGACAGCCAGCGTATATTTTGACTATCTGTACTATTGATTGCGTTCAACTCGAATCTCCTCCAACCGGTCTCATTCAAGGTGTGCCTCCTTGCGCTGCTACTATAAGAGGTCACGAGAGAACAGCTACTCAGAGGTGAAGAAGATCTTCTGATCATAGATTGGCATAGAACCAAAATATGCAGCACGACTAGCAGCCCTCGAAAACAGTCGTATCGCTGCATTCACATCACTTTCATAGTTGTCGTTCTTCCTTTTTCGACTTGTTGAAGAATTGGACGCGACTTTACCTTGCCTGTGTTCTTTTATAATAAAGAATAAACAAATGATGATCTAGGTGAAATCTCATGGTAGTGAATACCGTGTCAAAGAAAAGCAACAATCACAGCAAACAGCACAGCCCGCTTCTGCCCAAAAACCTCAACCTGTTGAAATAAATCGGAAAAATGAGAAAGACGTGAGTAGTTACTGTTGAACCACAGATGAATTTAATTACTAATGGTAGCCAAGAATTAATTTCCAACTGAGTGCTACAGGAGAAAGCGGCGAAATTGGAATCAAAAAAAGAAGAAAAGCAAGTTGAGGATAAATTTATACCGTATCCTAAGGTAGAAGAGCCGACATCGAGCCAGAAGAAGCGGCGCCAAAGAGAATTAATCGAAGATAAGAAGAGAAAAATCGCTCAGGGATTCTATCAGGTGAAACATAGACGATTTCCGCTGTATCCGCACAAAATATTTTAAAAATTTAGCCATACTCCGATCAGGATGACACGTTGAAGGTTGTGGCCAGCTTGAATGTGGAGCACACAGAGGATAGCAGGAAAATTATAAGTAACAAGCAAGTGAGGAATGGCACGAAAGATGGAAAAATGGAAGGCATCGCAAACAGAAAAGCTCCGAGAAACGATGGATACAACGAGAAAACTGGAAGCAGTAAAGAATATCGAGACAGCCCAGATATTCTAAGAAGCCAGAAAATCCAAGTAGTCAGAGATGATGGAAGCCGTTGTAGCAGAAGACTTTTTTCCAACGTCGTCTCTTCCACTTCAGTCAACAACTATCAAATGAAAGTAAACGGGTTAACACCAAATTCGGCGAGGTCGTACACAGTTAGGGAATAATTTTTTTTGGAAGTAGCATCAAAAAAGAAGGAAATAAAGAATCCTTATGTTTCGTTCTGTGCGCAAACTGTAGTCTGTTCCTAGAGAAATATGGCTGATTTGGGAAGAGGTAGTGGAAGTGAAAGCGACACTGCCTACTATGAATTTTCCAGATCCAAGACTTTGAGCGTTCCAGGATCTACAACTATTCAATCGAGGGCTCAAGAAAGTATTAGTCTTTGCAACATGTAGGAACATGAGGATGAAAACTGAGGCATTAGCGACTTTGCGCTATCAAAACTTGCTCTTTCGCCAAGCGTCTCCCTCTATAGGCCGCTAGACAGACGGCTCTCATGCATACTTCGTGCCGTGGTTTTCACAGTATAGATTTCCGACTTCCCATAAATGTTTATGACGGGTCTGTTTATTGTATATTTAGAGGTTGATTAGCATCAAGGTCATAAATCTATGCTCACCCAGAATAGAAAACGAGTCCTTTTTTTTAGTTGATAACTCACATGGTAAATGGCAATTTTAAATCTCATTCACAGCGCTGGACGTGGAACTATCCCAATGCAGAGTACCACAAAAGGTTTTGCTTTATCGATGTCGCTGTCCCAAAATTCTATACCACATCAGACCACCACCTCCTTCGTACAAGAATCCAATTCTCGCGGAAGGACGAGAAAGTAGCCAAATTCGAAAAGTGAACTCCCAAAATCACCAAGAACTGGAATTTGTTCACCTCATGTCGGTTCTTGGGAAGATACCGTCCTTAACAACATCGTCGAGGAATAGTATCGGCTTATTCAACATCTTCACGTAAGCGCCATGAAAGCTGAGAGTTAGAAAGTCACCAAGAGACGTCTATCTCCAAAAACACTCGAGCTGATACGCCGGCGTGGAATCGCACGAGCTGCAGCCAACCGCTAACTAACGTCCGAACTTGCAAAACAATGCAGACAGGCGATAACGGAAGATCTTAAAGAGAGAAGATCAGCAGTAATGGTCGAAGCTGCAGAAGCTGGGAAAAGCATTCGCACAGTCCACCAAACCTTCGCCAACTACAAGACCAACATGACTGTACCCCGATGCCCAGATGGAACAGTTACAGCTTTCAGAAAAATAGTCAAAAAAATCGTCCACGGCTGTTACTCGGATCTTTTCAACGCCCACGTCCTACAGCCCCACAAGGATGGATACATCGTACCACAGGTTTTCCCATCCGAAATTCGACATGCTATTTTGTCGGTGGAGAAGAAAGCAACACAAAATCCACACAGGATGAAACTTGAACACTTGAGGAACCTTCCGACAGTCTCCATAAACCCGCTACCACGACTCTTCACACGTTAACTTTCAGATTACAAGGTTCCTATTCAGTGGAGAAGCATAAGGACTGTAATTCTCCCTACTTCGGTTCAGCAAACACGAGATGCTATTTTATTTCTTTATTTACGTACAAGCTGACGTTTCGGCGGATTTCGCCTTCCTCAGAGCCTGGAAAGGTCAAGTTGACCGCAACATATTCGGCCAAACACCTCCATAACCAGGCAGAGAAAACGCTAAACCAAGATTTCAATCACATTTAACACAGCTCTGCACACTAGCCGCTTTCTATGAGTCTTCCACTGAGTATGTCGTGTGAAGAACGACCGCACAGAATTCACATAGAAGCGTAATGTGCCCCTCCCATCAGAATAACAGGTTTATATACTGTCCAATATCAAGCATGATAATGAGGCATTCCTCCCTGAAGTTCATTTTCGGACTTCTGGAATTAATCCAGAATGCCTCTAGAGTTTGGCGCGCTTGTGTTCTCGATTCTTGCGCGAGGATCGTGACACATACTTCAAAATCCTCCCCGTTAAGTCTCTGCGTCCTATGAGTGCCTAGTGGAGTATTTGGCTTACGTTTGCCGACTAGGTGTTCTTTTATACGTACGCAGAGTGGTCTACCCGTTACACCAATATATTCCTCTCCGCACGCTTTACAAGAGATCAGATAGACTGTACCCGAACTCATGCAGTTACCGTCTCTACCATTGGGGCAAATTATGCAATTTTGCGTTGCACATAGGCGGTCGTATAGGCGGTTACGAACTAACTGGTGCCTTAGATTACTCGGTGGTATTTCGATTATCGTTACCGAATTCTCTAGACTGGCCCTTCTTAAACAGCGTTTTATAGCTGCACTTACTTCATTTGAAATGAAGGGCAGTATAAACGGGACCTTGTTGTCGCTAGAGTTATCGTTGGGGTACCTGTGGTTTCTTCTACACCTATCTCGAGCTACAGTTTCGTAGCCATTAAAAATGGCTATTTGTCGCGCCAAGTTCAAGGACTCCTCTCTCTGCTGTCTTCTTGTGCACACGCTGGTAACTGTTCGATACGTGTTTCTCACAAGCGCCCTTTTCGGGCGAGGGGTGAGAGGAGAGGTAATGAACCAGGGTGTTTTTACTACTTGGCTTTCGATACCACTTCGTAATGTAGCCGTTTTCTGATAGGCTAATTTGCACGTTCAGAAATGGAAGCCAGTTTTCTTTTGATTTCTCGTGGGTGGATTTAATATACTCTTACTGTTCGTTCAACAACTCGAAACATCTGTCGATTTCTTCTTGCGTTGAACAAATGGCCAAGCAGTCATCTATATATCTACAGTAGAGTAACGGACCGAGGTCGATTACTGGTGCTTCCACCTTAGAGATGCATGCAATGGAAATTCGGGTTTTGAATTTAGCGGCTTTTTCTCCTTTCCGCAAGAAATAGTGTCTTACACGAAGGAGACGACGTCCTTATCCCGTGCAAAATTTTGGGACAACAGCGATATCGGTTAGGCAAAACCTTCCATTTACTATGATGTCTACTTCGTTATGGTATCCATTGGGAAACTCCCACGTCCACCGTTGAGGGTGGGGCTTCTGGAATTGCGAGTTACCATGGATTGCCTTGGCCGTCATGATAAACTTAGACAGCCGCCCACCTTGTTCCTTCCACTCTAATCCATGGATACCAACGTGAAGTTCATCAGACGTTCTTCTTGGTCCAATCTTGACGTTGAAATCTCCAATGATGACCTTGAAGAATGTATGTATAGACTTCTCTGTAGAACTTGTCCAATTCCATATAGAACGCTTCGACTTCTTCTTCGTCATAGTTTGATGCCGGCGCGTAAACGACGAAGATTGTCATAGCCGGAACTGATCCACTTATTCTTAATTGTAAACGTCCGATTCGGGTTGTAAGTTGTTCGAATGAAACGATGTTCATGGACAAACTCATGTTGACGAGAATGCCGACGCCGTCGGCCCCTCTACTGTCACTTGTTCCGAGGAACAGTTCTTCTCCGGTGTCATAGACGGCGTTGGGCTGGCGTCTTCTCGTCTCGGCCAGGCCGATAACGTCGTACCTTATCCTTCTTCCTTGCATGAGCAAGTCTTCTATCGAGGACACGGATGCAAGTGTACGTGCATTGTAGGTACGGATCGTCACCATAGTGCTTTGAAATCCAGGCAGTTTCCATTGGCTCTGAAATTTCAGCCGTCTTTCCGTGTACTCGTCCTACCCAACGCTGCGAAATTGGAGTTTCTTTCGGAGTCAGGGGAATGAGGCCCGTTTTTCTTCACTGGTTTAGCATTTTCGATACCTACGCATAGCTTGCTGGGTTTTGAACGTAGGGCTGTGTATACTCACGGTTAGCTTGCCAGGCTCTTTCAGAGTGGACATGGAGCTTATTTGTTGTAGGCGATTCCTAATCACCTCCCATATAGTTCCCAGTTACTTGATTGCAGGCTCATGGCCGAATTGACTCGTAGAATACAATCCGCATAAGCAAGAACGCATCCACACACACATGCATGAATACGCCTAGCAAATACAAAAAGTGTGTGCCAAATCAGCGCCGCAGAAACAGGGAGTCCATCCCCTGGATCCACTTGCGTCTCAGGGAAGAAAAGGTCGCTTTTGGTCCGCGATTAACCCCCTATCTGCCACCTGGGGACGCGCCACGTATCCTCGCGACTAAGCGGTTCGAGATCCCTCATATGAGGGAGATCCGTGAAGTGTTAAACATATACATATATTATATATATGTACATATATATATATATATATATATATATATATATATATATATATATATATATATATATATAT